AGCTTCTGGGTGTGAAGCAGGGGTCACTGGGGGTGGGGGAGGGAAGTATTTCTGAATTTCTTGCCTCATGCAGGGGGTTAGACTACATGACCCTGGAGATCCCTTCCAACTCTATGATTCTATGAAGGAAAAATAATAATAAAGATGTTACACTGGCCGTTGGTGTCCTGAACAGACCCAGTTTGGAATGGCTGAGATGAATCAACAGCCATCACACATTTGCCAGTATCCTGCCGTGCAGCTCAGAAAGCTTAAATGCCCTCAAGTTTTCTAAATCGGGAGCAGCAATTTATGTTAATCCCCCCCCCCCATTTCTCTGCAGTCCACCGAGTCCCCTGAAATTCTGTGGAAATTGATTTGCCACCCCCTCTCAAAGAAACTTAAAGGAACTTAAGTTCCTTTTAATGTTGTTGGATCTAACCACTATCTGGACCAGAGGGTCCCACAACTTTTTTGAGCTTCTGGGAACCGTTGGAATCCTGACATGGTGTGGTGGGTGCAGCCACAAAATGGCAGCGGCAGGAGACAGAGACAGCCACAAAATGGCAGCTGCAGGAGACAGAGACAGCCACAAAATGGCTGCTGCAGCTTTACTTCAGTCACACAGTGCAGAGCCTTGTGCTGTGGTGGCAGCTGCTGCCAAAGCAACATTAAAAAAAAAAATCTGTGCAGCCATTCAAATCTCCGATAGCCAATCAGAAGCCTTACTGGGCAAAAGCTGTTCCTGGCCCCGCCCACACTGGGGGGGGGGGTACCAGAAAAGGTGTCAGTGGGCACCAGGTTGGGGACCTCTGATCTTGACCCAGTTCTGCTTCATTGTAGCGAGCCACTATAAATTCAGTAGCGAGCCACTATAAATTCGGTTTTTAATAGGTCTCAAAGAAGCTACCCAAAACACCTAATGCTTCTATTCTACTGTCAAGCCAAGACTTTAGATATTCGACACCCCCCCCCAAAAAAAATTCAGATTAAATGGTGCAGGAGGTAATGCAGGGAGATGCAGCCGGAAAGGAAATCAGCACAAATCAGCCTCTCCTCCGCTGACCAAGCTGAGCAAAGGGAGCAAGAGGTTCCGTGAGACTGGGTGACTTCAGTCCCCCTACGCTGCACCCCAAGCCATTCCCAAGGAACCCCCTTTCTGGCGGGCTCACGGGGGGATGACAAATGTCCTTTCCACGCCGTCTGCTTCCTTCGTGCTTCCTTCCTTCTTAGGACTGGAGCCGAAAGACATCACATTTGAGAAGGTATGCCAGCTAAGCGAGGCGTGAGGAACCAACGGCGGCAAAGGGAGTTCCTGACCATGAGGCTTTGGCCATCATACACCTGTAGGGCCCGATTCACGCTACAATGGCAGGGAGCTTCCCTTCGCCCCTTTCAGCATGGCTCAGCATCTGCTGTCAGCTGGGTCACCACTGATGTTCCCTCTAAGCTGTGGAGTCTTGTGAGCAAAAATTCGACTTTGTGAGCTACCAGCATGAAAGTTGTGAGCGAGCCATTTTGGCTACTGCATGAATCAGTTTGCTCTGCAGCCATCCTTGCTGCGCTACGACAAAAATGTGTGAGCTGGCGGGCTAAAAGGCTGAGAGCTAGCTCACACTCACTCAGCTTAGAGGGAACACTGGTCACCACCTAAGCAAAGCAGCGACACGGGCTTAGCATGGCGACACAGTCTCTGCCACAGATCTCCGGCATCCTCACTAGGCACAGCTTAGACAAAGACCCTGTGGCCCCAGGCAATTCTGCACGGGGAAGCTCTTTTTGAAGCTGCCTTATACTGAGTCACAACCTTGGTCCAGCAAGGCCAGGATGGTCTACTCAGACTGGCAGTAGCTCTCCAGGGACTCAGGTGGAAGAAGAAGAGATTGGATTTATACCCCAAGCTTCACTACCCCAAGGAGTCTCAGAGTGGCTTACAATCTCCTTTCCCTTCCTCTCCCCACAACGGGTACACTGTGAGGTGGGTGGGGCTGAGAGAGCTCTTTGGAGAACTGCTCTTGAGAGAACAGCTCTGAAAGAACTTGTGACTGACCCAAGGCCACACCAGCAGCTGCATGTGGAAGATTTGGTAATCGAACCCGGTTCTCCCAGATTAGAGTCTGCACTCCTCACCACTACACGAAACTGGCTCCCTGGCTTAGCATGGCAGCACAGTCTCTTCCACAGATCTCTGGCATCCTCACTAAGCACACGGGGGCTGTTTCATGTGAGCTGTGGCACAGCTTAAACAAAGACCCCATGGCCCCAGGCGATCTTGCATGGAGAAGCTCTTTTTGAAGCTGCCTTGTGCTGAATCACATCCTTGGTCCAGCAAGGCCAGGATGGTCTACTCAGACAGGTAGCAGCTCTCCAGGGTCTCAGGGGAGGTCTTTTACATCACCTGTTGCCTAATCCTTTTAGCTGGCAAAGCCGGGGATTGAATTTGGGATTTTCTGCA